AGTCTCAGTCTTGAATCCAGCAGAGAAGTCGGAGAATTCAGGCCATGGAGGAGAGAGTCTCAGTCTTGAACCCAGCAGAGAAGTCGGAGAATTCAGGCCAGGGAGAACAGAGTGTCAGTCTAGAAATGAAATAAAAAAAAAAAAAAAAAAAAAAAACACACATTATTATTATTAGAAGAAAACAGCAAAGGTGGCAGTCCCCTCCCCCACACCTAAACTTCCCAGTCCAAACAGCGACGGTATATTTAGTAAATAGCTAGGAAAAAATATTCAGGACTCACCATATGACTTCCCAAAAGCGATGGTCTGAACATCCCCCCCGCCTGTTCGGTTCATGGTCGAACATCTGAACCTACAGAATGTTCGACCGCGAACTTCGAACAGTTTACTGAGCGGTGTCTTCCTGCATCTGAGTATGTGGTGCGATCCCGCTCAGTGACTACAATCCGGCCGAGTTCCATGATGACGTCACACGGTATTTTAGTAGTGAGACTTTCATTCATGTTTCCGCTGTCAGTGGGGTTCCCAACTGACAGCTGAATGAAAAAATAATTGTCGGCATTGCCCAAGAATTTAAAAAAGAAACACTTTGGGTCTGGTATGGATTTTGAGGGGAACCCCCACTCCAAAATATATATATTTTTTTTAAATGGCGTTGGGTCCCCCCTCCCATCCATACCAAGCCTTTCGGGTCTGGTATGGATTTTGAGGGGAACCCCCCACTCCAAAATATATATATTTTTTTTAAATGGCGTTGGGTCCCCCCTCCCATCCATACCAAGCCTTTCGGGTCTGGTATGGATTTTGAGGGGAACCCCCCACACCAAAATATTTTTTTTTTTAAATGGCGTTGGGTCCCCCCTCCCATCCATACCAAGCCTTTCGGGTCTGGTATGGATTTTGAAGGGAACCCCCCACACCAAAATATTTTTTTTTTTTAAATGGCGTTGGGTCCCCCCTCCCATACATACCAAGACCTTTGGGTCTGGTATGGATTTTGAGGGGATCCCCCATGCCATTTAAAAAATACTTTGGCCACCCCAAATCCATTCCAGACCCTTATCTGAGCATGCGGCCCAGCAGGTCAGGAAAAGAGGGGACGAGCGAGCGCCCCCTCCTGAACCATACCAGGCCACATGCCCTCATCATGGGGGGGTGCTGTGGGGCAGGGGGCCCCCCCCTCGAAAAAGAAGCACACAGGGGGCGCAAACACCTAGCTCATTATCCAAGGTTTATTAAAAAATGAAAAACATACTCACAAAAATAGATGGATATAAAAGCCTGTAAAACCACTGATATGGCCCAGCGTGATGACATAGTACCCGACTGGTGGGGAGTTCGGTCTGCTGACGCGTTTCGGGGACATGTGCCCTTCCTCAGGATTCGATACAATACAGTGGAGGCCATTTATAAATTCGTCCAGCAAATCTGGACGGGTAACAACGAATGTTCTTTGGGCCATTTCCTCTTCTGAACGAAGGTGCTTTTATGTGACAGCAGTAAAGTACCAGATTATGGCCACTAGATGGAGCGAAGGAGCATGGGAAATGCAATTGGCTTTGTAAGAAGAGATACAATGTGACAATTCTATGGAACACATGAAGGTGGGGGGTGGTAATAACTGTAACCAATGGTTTATAATAATAAAATATTCGCTCAGAAGAGGACATATCCTGCAGAACATTTGTTTTTGTCCTTTTCGCACAGAATAGATGTGGATTCACTGGGTGGACGGCGATATCATTTCCTTTATATACAGACCCAGAAATGTTAAAAAATATCTGTAAACAAACCCTTTTCATGGAAAAACGGAGTGTGTGGCTTTACATATTACACCCGATCCTCAATGGAATCCTCAATGAACAAGAATATTCTGCAGAGGCCCCCCCTGCTGGTAAATCTAGGAATACAACTGGTCATGGAGGTCCATGGATAATGGTCAGCTTACTGGATATCGAACATACTATAAAAAGGTGGATGGAGACTGGGGGACGTGCCACAGTTGGAGACTGGGGGACGTGCCACAGGTCTGGGTTGGAGACTGGGGGACGTGCCCCACAGGTCTGGGTTGGAGACTGGGGGACGTGCCCCACAGGTCTGGGTTGGAGACTGGGGGACATGCCACAGGTCTGGGTTGGAGACTGGGGGACGTGCCACGGGTCTGGGTTGGAGACTGGGGGACGTGCCACGGGTCTGGGTTGGAGACTGGGGGACATGCCCCACAGGTCTGGGTTGGAGACTGGGGGACATGCCCCACAGGTCTGGGTTGGGGGAGACTGGGGGACGTGCCACGGGTCTGGGTTGGAGACTTGGATGCCCCACTGGGGGGACGTGCCACGGGTCTGGGTTGGAGACTGGGGGACGTGCCACGGGTCTGGGTTGGAGACTGGGGGACGTGCCACGGGCTGGGTTGGAGACCACGTGCCACGGGTCTGGGTTGGAGACTGGGGGACGTGCCACGGGTCTGGGTTGGAGACTGGGGGACGTGCCACGGGTCTGGGTTGGAGACTGGGGGACGTGCCACGGGTCTGGGTTGGAGACTGGGGGACGTGCCACGGGTCTGGGTTGGAGACTGGGGGACGTGCCACAGGTCTGGGTTGGAGACTGGGGGACGTGCCACAGGTCTGGGTTGGAGACTGGGGGACGTGCCACAGGTCTGGGTTGGAGACTAGGGGACGTGCCACAGGTCTGGGTTGGAGACTGGGGGACGTGCCCCACAGGTCTGGGTTGGAGACTGGGGGACGTGCCACAGGTCTGGGTTGGAGACTGGGGGACGTGCCACAGGTCTGGGTTGGAGACTGGGGGACGTGCCACAGGTCTGGGTTGGAGACTGGGGGACGTGCCACAGGTCTGGGTTGGAGACTGGGGGACGTGCCACGGGTCTGGGTTGAAGACTGGGGGACGTGCCACAGGTCTGGGTTGGAGACTGGGGGACGTGCCACAGGTCTGGGTTGGAGACTGGGGGACGTGCCACAGGTCTGGGTTGGAGACTGGGGATGTACCATGGGTGTAACTGAAAACCGGGGACATACCACAGGTGTGGTTGGAAACTGGAGCATGCCACAGACATGGTTGGACACTGGGGACATACACACCATAGAAATGATTAGACTGGGGATATACCACAGACCTGGTTGGAGACTGGGTACATACCACAGACCTGGCTGGAGACTGGGGACATACCACAGACCTGGTTGGAGACTGGGGACATACCACAGACCTGGTTGGAGACTGGGGACATGCCACAGACCTGGTTGGAGACTGGGGACATACCACAGACCTGGCTGGAGACTGGGGACATACCACAGACCTGGTTGGAGACTGGGGACATACCACAGACCTGGCTGGAGACTGGGGACATACCACAGACCTGGTTGGAGACTGGTGGCATACCACAGGTGTGGTTGGGGACTGAGGAGAAAAAAAAACAGGTATGGTAGAAAATTTGAAACGTACTGCATGCATAATTGGAGACTGGGGATATGCCACGGGCATGGTTGGAGATTGGGGATATGCCAAAAGCGTAGTTAGGGACTGAGGACGTACCACAGATGTGGTTGACGATTGGAGACTGGAGACATACCACAGGTATGGTGGGAAACCAGGAGTATCCCTCAGGTATTTCTGAAGACTAGGGGCATATTACAGGTGTGGTTGGAGACTGGATACATACTGCAGGCGTGCTTGGAGATCGGGAGCACTCTTTAAGTGTGCCTGAAGACTAGGGGCATACTACAGATGTGGTTGGAGATCGGGAGTACTCCACAGGTGTGGCTGGAGACTGGGGGCACACCACAGACCTGGTCGGAGACCGGGGACCATACCACAGACCTGGTCGGAGACCGAGGACCATACCACAGACCTGGTCGGAGACCGAGGAACATACCACAGACCTGGTCGGAGACCGAGGACCATACCACAGACCTGGTCGGAGACCGAGGACCATACCACAGACCTGGTCGGAGACCGAGGACCATACCACAGACCTGGTCGGAGACCGAGGACCATACCACAGACCTGGTCGGAGACCGAGGACCATACCACAGACCTGGTCGGAGACCGAGGACCATACCACAGACCTGGTCGGAGACCGGAGGACCATACCACAGACCTGGTCGGAGACCGAGGACCATACCACAGACCTGGTCGGAGACCGGGGACCATACCACAGACCTGGTCGGAGACCGAGGACCATACCACAGACCTGGTCGGAGACCGGGACCATACCACAGACCTGGTCGGAGACCGAGGACCATACCACAGACCCGGTTGGAGACCGAGGACCATACCACAGACCTGGTCGGAGACCGAGGACCATACCACAGACCTGGTCGGAGACCGAGGACCATACCACAGACCCGGTTGGAGACCGGGGACCATACCACAGACCCGGTTGGAGACCGAGGACCATACCACAGACCCGGTTGGAGACTGGGGACTGAAAAAACAGATCTTTTCCTTCACTGTCCCCTAATCACACGGGTGTCACTAGTGCCGGGCACCAGGGGCATGCCCCCCACATCTCTTGCCTGGTGCCCCGGGGCCCACTGCCACTGTCTCCTTTCACAGACAGTTTCTTACCGGAAATCAAAGCAGCAGTCACAAGAAAAGGTGCTGCAAATGATAGGCTGCTGCCACAGGCTCCTCCCCCTGATTCTCCACGAGTGAATAGAACGGACATCTGTAGGCGGGATACTCAGCCTGGAATGTTGGAATTCCAAGAAGAAAGAGCACCGCAAGCACAATGGCGGCATCGGGCCCCGGGGCAACAGACAAGACATGCAGGGTATGGGCCCCGGGTGCCGGCACTAGTCCCTAACTAAGAACCCAGGCAAGGTGCAGGCCAATAGAGATGGCCCATTGCTGGATAAGCGCTGCTCCATCATCGTCCAATCAGGGTTCAAATCTATTAGTCCCCTCCCCCCAGTTCTGTACAAATCTGAGTGTGGCTGGAGTTCCACCTGAACCCACAGTCACCTCCATGACTCTTCACCCATTGGACAGTTAGATTGGACATTTACCTTCACGGCCGGGACTGAAGCAATGGCACTTCTCCATCCGCTCTTCCGCTTGTTCTGTCCATTCTTGGTGTTGCGGTTGTTGGAGTTCCTCTTCATCCTCCCCACCGCCTCCTGTGATTGGAGGAAATACACATTAGAGGAAGCATCTCCCTGCACTCCGGTCACATCCGCCTACAGGAAGTCTCATCACATATTTGCGGTTCTGGATTCCCATCACTGTACGGTCACTTTGAGTGTAACGCCACAACGCCGCAACGCCGCAACGCCATACTGTACAGTCACTGAAAGTGTAACGCCACAACGCCATACTGTACAGTCACGCCATACTGTACAGTCACTGAAAGTGTAACGCCACAACGCCATACTGTACAGTCACTGAAAGTGTAACGCCACAACGCCGCAACGCCATACTGTACAGTCACTTCAAGTGTAACGCCACAACGCCGCAACGCCATACTGTACAGTCACTTCAAGTGTAACGCCACAACGCCATACTGTACAGTCACTTCAAGTGTAACGCCACAACGCCATACTGTACAGTCACTTCAAGTGTAACGCCGCAACGCCATACTGTACAGTCACTGAAAGTGTAACGCTGCAACGCCGCAACGCCATACTGTACAGTCACTTCAAGTGTAACGCCGCCACAACGCCATACTGTACGGTCACTGAAAGTGTAACACAACGCCCACAACACCATACTGTACGGTCACTGAAAGTGTAACGCCCACAACGCCATACTGTACAGTCACTGAAAGTGTAACGCCACAACGCCATACTGTACAGTCACTGAAAGTGTAACGCCACAACGCCGCAACGCCATACTGTACAGTCACTTCAAGTGTAACGCCACAACGCCATACTGTACGGTCACTTCAAGTGTAACGCCACAATGCCGCAACGCCATACTGTACGGTCACTTCAAGTGTAACGCCGCAACGCCGCAACGCCATACTGTACGGTCACTTGAAAGTGTAACGCCGCAACGCCGCAACGCCATACTGTACGGTCACTTCAAGTGTAACGCCACAACGCCGCAACGCCATACTGTACGATCACTTCAAGTGTAACGCCGCAACGCCGCAACGCCATACTGTACGGTCACTTCAAGTGTAACGCCGCAACGCCGCAACGCCATACTGTACGGTCACTTCAAGTGTAACGCCGCAACGCCGCAAACACCATACTGTACGGTCACTTCAAGTGTAACGCCACAACGCTGCAACGCCATACTGTACAGTCACTTCAAGTGTAACGCCACAACGCCGCAACGCCATACTGTACGGTCACTTCAAGTGTAACGCCACAACGCCGCAACACCATACTGTACGGTCACTTCAAGTGTAACGCCACAACGCCGCAACGCCATACTGTACGGTCACTTCAAGTGTAACGCCGCAACGCCGCAACGCCATACTGTACGGTCACTTCAAGTGTAACGCCACAACGCCGCAACGCCATACTGTACGGTCACTTCAAGTGTAACGCCACAACGCCGCAACGCCATACTGTACGGTCACTTCAAGTGTAACGCCACAACGCCGCAACGCCATACTGTACGGTCACTTCAAGTGTAACGCCACAACGCCGCAACGCCATACTGTACGGTCACTGAAAGTGTAACGCCGCAACGCCATACTGTACGGTCACTTCAAGTGTAACGCCGCAACGCCGCAACACCATACTGTACGGTCACTTCAAGTGTAACGCCACAACGCCGCAACGCCATACTGTACGGTCACTTCAAGTGTAACGCCGCAACAACGCCATACTGTACGGTCACTTCAAGTGTAACGCCGCAACGCCGCAAACCATACTGTACGGTCACTTCAAGTGTAACGCCACAACGCCGCAACGCCATACTGTACGGTCACTTCAAGTGTAACGCCACAACGCCGCAACGCCATACTGTACGGTCACTTCAAGTGTAACGCCACAAACGCCGCAACGCCATACTGTACGGTCACTTCAAGTGTAACGCCGCCAACGCCGCAACGCCATACTGTACGGTCACTTCAAGTGTAACGCCGCAACGCCGCAACACCATACTGTACGGTCACTTCAAGTGTAACGCCACAACGCCGCAACGCCATACTGTACGGTCACTTCAAGTGTAACGCCACAACGCCGCAAACGCCATACTGTACGTCACCATACTGTACTGTACGGTCACTTCAAGTGCCAACTGTACGGTCACGCCACAACGCCGCAACGCCATACTGTACGGTCACTTCAAGTGTAACGCCGCAACGCCGCAACGCCATACTGTACGGTCACTTCAAGTGTAACGCCCACAACGCCGCAACGCCATACTGTACGGTCACTTCAAGTGTAACGCCACAACGCCGCAACGCCATACTGTACGGTCACTTCAAGTGTAACGCCACAACGCCGCAACGCCATACTGTACGGTCACTGAAAGTGTAACGCCACAACGCCGCAACGCCATACTGTACGGTCACTTCAAGTGTAACGCCGCAACGCCGCAACGCCATACTGTACGGTCACTTCAAGTGTAACGCCACAACGCCGCAACGCCATACTGTACGGTCATACAGTACTGTAACGTGTCACTTCAAGTGTAACGCCACAACGCCTGCAACGTCATACTGTACGGTCACTTCAAGTGTAACGCCACAACGCTGCAACGCCATACTGTACGGTCACTTCAAGTGTAACGCCACAACGCTGCAACGCCATACTGTACGGTCACTTCAAGTGTAACGCCACAACGCCGCAACGCCATACTGTACGGTCACTTCAAGTGTAACGCCACCACAACGCCGCAACGCCATACTGTACGGTCACTGAAAGTGTAACGCCGCACAACGCCGCAACGTAACCATACTGTACGGTCACTTCAAGTGTAACGCCACAACGCCGCAACGTCATACTGTACGGTCAATTCAAGTGTAACGCCGCAACGCCATGTTTTTACCTTAAAGTGACCCGTCACCTTATAAATGGTGTTCATGTAAGAAGAGAATTCTTCTTCCCCTTCCTGTCCCCAGAGTCACCGCCCACAGCTCCATGAACAGAAACCCGCGACACTTCAGGGAGTGTCAATCTTCACTTATTGGTCCCTCCCACTGACCTCCAAGTCCCCGGTGTCCTGTACTGTGTGCTGCAGTAACCTAGTGGTTGGCAAGAGGAACTGCTGAGCACAGTGATTGGCCAAAGAGACTGACACCCCAGAAGTGGCACTCAGCGGCATGATTGGCAGGACAGGTAAGCATTCATTTCTTTTACACAAAGAGAGGGGGGAGAGTAACATTGTTTATAAACATCGATCAGACGGGAGAGAGAGAGATACAAAGTAACATTGTTTATAAACATCGATCAGACGGGAGAGAGAGAGATACAAAGTAACATTGTTTATAAACATCGATCAGACGGGAGAGAGAGAGATACAAAGTAACATTGTTTATAAACATCGATCAGACGGGGGATGGAGAGATACAAAGTAACATTGTTTTATAAACATCGATCAGACGGGAGAGAGAGAGATACAAAGTAACATTGTTTAAACATCGATCAGACGGGAGATAGAGAGATACAAAGTAACATTGTTTATAAACATCGATCAGACGAGAGATGGAGAGATACAAAGTAACATTGTTTATAAACATCGATCAGACGGGAGATGGAGAGATACAAAGTAACATTGTTTATAAACATCGATCAGACGGGGGATAGAGATACAAAGTAACATTGTTTATAAACATCGATCAGACGGGAGATAGAGAGATACAAAGTAACATTGTTTATAAACATCGATCAGACGGGAGACACAAAGTAACATTGTTTATAAACATCGATCAGACGGGAGACAGAGATACAAAGTAATATTGTTTATAAACATTGATCAGACGGGAGATGGAGAGATACAAAGTAACATTGTTTATAAACATCGATCAGACGGGAGATGGAGAGATACAAAGTAACATTGTTTATAAACATCGATCAGACGGGAGATACAAAGTAACATTGTTTATAAACATCGATCAGACGGGAGATACAAAGTAACATTGTTTATAAACATCGATCAGACGGGAGATGGAGAGATACAAAGTAACATTGTTTATAAACATCGATCAGACGGGAGATAGAGAGATACAAAGTAACATTGTTTATAAACATCGATCAGACGGGGGATAGAGAGATACAAAGTAACATTGTTTATAAACATCAATCATCAGACGGGAGATGGAGAGATACAAAGTAACATTGTTTATAAACATCGATCAGACGGGGGATAGAGAGATACAAAGTAACATTGTTTATAAACATCAATCAGACGGGAGATGGAGAGATACAAAGTAACATTGTTTATAAACATCGATCAGACAGGAGATGGAGAGATACAAAGTAACATTGTTTATAAACATCGATCAGACGGGGGATAGAGATACAAAGTAACATTGTTTATAAACATCGATCAGACGGGAGATAGAGAGATACAAAGTAACATTGTTTATAAACATCGATCAGACGGGAGATAGAGAGATACAAAGTAACATTGTTTATAAACATCGATCAGACGGGAGATGGAGAGATACAAAGTAACATTGTTTATAAACATCGATCAGACGGGGGATAGAGATACAAAGTAACATTGTTTATAAACATCGATGAGACGGGAGATGGAGAGATACAAAGTAACATTGTTTATAAACATCGATCAGACGGGAGATGGAGAGATACAAAGTAACATTGTTTATATAAACATCGATCAGACGGGAGATAGAGCTACAAAGTAACATTGTTTATAAACATCGATCAGACGGGAGATAGAGATACAAAGTAACATTGTTTATAAACATCGATCAGACGGGAGATGGAGAGATACAAAGTAACATTGTTTATAAACATCGATCAGACGGGAGATGGAGAGATACAAAGTAACATTGTTTATAAACATCGATCAGACGGGAGATGGAGAGATACAAAGTAACATTGTTTATAAATCGATCGATCGGGAGATAGAGATACAAAGTAACATTGTTTATAAACATCGATCAGACGGGGGATGGAGAGATACAAAGTAACATTGTTTATAAACATCGATCAGACGGGAGATGGAGAGATTCAAAGTAACATTGTTTATAAACATCGATCAGACGGGAGATGGAGATACAAAGTAACATTGTTTATAAACATCGATCAGACGGGAGATGGAGAGATACAAAGTAACATTGTTTATAAACATCGATCAGACGGGAGATAGAGATACAAAGTAACATTGTTTATAAACATCGATCAGACGGGAGATAGAGATACAAAGTAACATTGTTTATAAACATCGATCAGACGGGAGATAGAGATACAAAGTAACATTGTTTATAAACATCGATCAGACGGGAGAGAGAGATACAAAGTAACATTGTTTATAAACATCGATCAGACGGGAGATGGAGAGATACAAAGTAACATTGTTTATAAACATCGATCAGACGGGAGATGGAGAGATACAAAGTAACATTGTTTATAAACATCGATCAGACGGGAGATAGAGAGATACAAAGTAACATTGTTTATAAACATCGATCAGACGGGGAGATAGAGATACAAAGTAACATTGTTTATAAACATCGATCAGACGGGAGATGGGAGATACAAAGTAACATTGTTTATAAACATCGATCAGACGGGAGATAGAGATACAAAGTAACATTGTTTATAAACATCGATCAGACGGGAGACGGAGATACAAAGTAACATTGTTTATAAACATTGATCAGACGGGAGATAGAGAGATACAAAGTAACATTGTTTATAAACATCGATCAGACAGGAGATAGAGATACAAAGTAACATTGTTTATAAACATCGATCAGACGGGGAGATGGAGAGAGACACAAAGTAACATTGTTTATAAACATCGATCAGACGGGAGATGGAGAGATACAAAGTAACATTGTTTATAAACATCGATCAGACGGGAGATAGAGAGATACAAAGTAACATTGTTTATAAACATGGATCAGACGGGAGATGGAGAGAGATACAAAGTAACATTGTTTATAAACATCGATCAGACGGGGATAGAGAGATACAAAGTAACATTGTTTATAAACATCGATCAGACGGGAGATGGAGAGAGATACAAAGTAACATTGTTTATAAACGTCGATCAGACGGGAGATGGAGAGATACAAAGTAACATTGTTTATAAACATCGATCAGACGGGAGATGGAGATACAAAGTAACATTGTTTATAAACATCGATCAGAGACGGGAGATAGAGATACAAAGTAACATTGTTTATAAACATCGATCAGACGGGAGATGGAGAGATACAAAGTAACATTGTTTATAAACATCGATCAAACGGGAGAGACGGAGAGATACAAAGTAACATTGTTTATAAACATCGATCAGACGGGGCCTCCAGTCTTCACAGTTGCACAAGGGCCCTCTGGCCTCAGGATTTACTAAACCGGAGCGCTCAGGATCTGGTGCAGCTGTACATGGCGGCCAATCAGCTTCTATCTTCAGCTTGCTCGTTGAGTTTCTGCTAGAAAAGCTGGAAGCTGATTGGCTCTCGTGCACAGCTGCAAATCAGCCCCAATGACTCTTATGAACAATCGAACCCTCAAACATTTAATCCACGTGAGCCCTGCTGTACCCCGCCACTGCCATAGGAGCCACATGGCACCTGACTTGTATTATTGTACTGTAGTCCTATTTGCAATTAGGCCCACCCCTTTATACTAAGCCCCGCCCCAGCGTGTAAATGTGTCATGTCTGAAGATGATCGCTGTGTTGTCAGCTTATTATTCTGGTGACTGAGATCAGAGATCGCCAAACATTATAGACAAAGGGCCCCACTTTGGGGGTGGGAGGAGTAGTGCCCCATCATTGGTGTCAGTGGGAGGAATAGTAGTGCCCCTGTCATTGGTGTCAGTGGGAGGAGCAGTGCCCCATCATTGGTGTCACTGGGAGGTAGTGCCCCATCATTGGTGTCACTGGGAGGAATAGTGTCCCATCATTGGTGTCAGTGGGAGGAATAGTGCCCCATCATTGGTGTCACTGGGAGGAGTAGTGCGCCCCATCATTGGGGTCACTGGGAGGAGTAGTGCCCCATCATTGGTGTCACTGGGAGGAGTAGTGCCCCATCATTGGTGTCAGTGGGAGGAATAGTGCCCCATCATTGGTGTCAGTGGGAGGAATAGTGCCCCATCATTGGTGTCAGTGGGAGGAATAGTGCCCCGTCATTGGTGTCAGTGGGAGGAGTAGTGCCCCATCATTGGTGTCACTGGGAGGAGTAGTGCCCCATCATTAATGTCAGTGGGAGGAATAGTGTCCCATCATTGGTGTCAGTGGGAGGAATAGTGCCCCATCATTGGTGTCACTGGGAGGAATAGTGCCCCATCATTGGTGTCACTGGGAGGAGTAGTGCCCCATCATTGGTGTCAGTGGGAGGAATAGTGCCCCATCATTGGTGTCAGTGGGAGGAGTAGTGCCCCATCATTGGTGTCACTGGGAGGAAGTAGTGCCCCATCATTAATGTCAGTGGGAGGAATAGTGCCCCATCATTGGTGTCAGTGGGAGGAATAGTGCCCCATCATTGGTGTCACTGGGAGGAGTAGTGCCCCATCATTGGTGTCACTGGGAGGAGTAGTGCCCCATCATTGGTGTCAGTGGGAGGAATAGTGCCCCATCATTGGTGTCAGTGGGAGGAGTAGTGCCCCATCATTGGTGTCACTGGGAGGAGTAGTGCCCCATCATTGGTGTCAGTGGGAGGAATAGTGTCCCATCATTGGTGTCAGTGGGAGGAATAGTGCCCCATCATTGGTGTCACTGGGAGGAGTAGTGCCCCATCATTGGTGTCACTGGGAGGAGTAGTGCCCCATCATTGGTGTCAGTGGGAGGAATAGTGCCCCATCATTGGTGTCAGTGGGAGGATAGTGTCCCATCATTGGTGTCACTGGGAGGAGTAGTGCCCCAAGGACTGGATAAATACTACCAAAGGGCTAGATTCCTGACCTAGATGGATATTTTCCAGGACTTCCTCCTCGTTGGCTCTCCCAGGATGGGGGGGAGGAAGGTCTCTAACACAATTTCCATCACCAGGTTGGATAATTCTGCAGTTGGAAGGAACTCATCTCTTACCGCCCCATCAGTCAGGTCCTCCTTTCTTCCTTCACGCATTGATGTGATAGGACTACGGGACCCGGTGCGCCGTGTTTTCTTCTCTTCCTTCTCTTCCTCGGGATGATGATGGTGATGATGTCTTCTCTTCTTTCCTTCCTCCTTCTCCTGTGATGAAGATGAAACATGCTCATCAAAGGGTCACTCCTCCCGCCCATGAACTGCCTGAACCCGTGGTTGGAACACGGCCTCCATTAACCCTCTTTTCCAGCTTGATATCATCCCATAATATACATCAGACCTCCATATACAGTGAAGGAAATGTGTATTTGCTCCCCCTTGATGCTGAATGTTCGCCCCCTCACACAGAAATGATCGGTCTAACAATGGAATGTTCGCCCCTCACACAGAAACGATCGGTCTAACAATGGAATGTTCGCCCCTCACACTAAAAATCGGTCTAACAATGGAATTCGCCCCTCACACAGAAATGATCGGTCTAACAATGGAATGTTCGCCCCTCACACAGAAATGATCGGTCTAACAATGGAATGTTCGCCCCTCACACAGAAATGATCGGTCTAACAATGGAATGTTCCCCCCTCACACAGAAATGATCGGTCTAACAATGGAATGTTCGCCCCTCACACAGAAACGATCGGTCTAACAATGGAATGTTCACCCCTCACACAGAAATGATCGGTCTAACAATGGAATGTTCACCCCTCTCACACAGAAATGATCGGTCTACAACAATGGAATGTTCGGTGTAACACTGAGAGACAGAATACAACAACAAATTCAGCAGAAATGCGTCTAACAAATGATGACGGATCTGCATGTTCATGAGGGAAAGAAGGATTTGATCCCCTTCACAAAACATGACTTAGTACTTGGTGGCCAATCCCTTGCTGGCAATTACAGAGGTCAGACGTTTCCTGGAGTTGGCCCCCAGGTTCGCACACATCTCAGGAGGGATTTTGGCCCACTCCTCTTGGCAGATCCTCTCCAAGTCATTAAGGTTTGGTGGCTGATGTTTGGCAACTCGAACTTTCAGCTCCCTCCACAGATTTTCCATCGGATGAAGGTGTGGAGACTGGACTAGGCCACTCCAGGACCTTAATGTGCTTCTTCTTGAGCCGCTCCTTTGTTGCCTTGGCCATGTGTTTTGGGTCATTGTCATGCTGGAACACCCATCCACCACCCATTTTCAATGCCCTGGCTGAGGGAAGAAGGTTCTCACCCAAGATTTGAGGGTACATTGCCCCGTCCATCGTCCCTTTGATGCGGTGCAGTTGTCCTGTCCCCTTAGCAGAAAACACCCCCAAAGCAGAATGTTTCCACCACCATGTTTCACAGTTGGGATGGTGTTCTTGGGGTCATAGGCAGCATTCCTCCTCCTCCAAACACGGCGAGTTGAGTTGATGCCAAAGAGCTGGATTTTGGTCTCCTCTGACCACAACACTTCCCACCAGTCCTCCTCGGCATCATTCAGATGTTCAGTGACAGACTTCAGACGGCCTGGACATGGGCTTTCTTGAGCAGAGGGACCGTGCGGGCACTGCAGGATTTCAGTCCTTGTCGGCGTAGTGTGTTACCAATTGTTTTCTTGGTGACTGTGGTCCCAGCTGCCTGGAGATCATTGACAAGATCCTCAGGTGTAGTTCTGGGATGATTCCTCACTGTTCTCATGATCATTGACACCCCACGAGGTGAGATCTTGCATGGGGCACCAGACCTCGGGAGACTGACACTTGTTTTGTGTTTCTCCCATTTGTGAATGATTGCACCAACTGTTGTCACCTTCTCACCAAGCTGCTTGGCCATAGTTTGGTAGCCCAGTCCAGCCTTGTGTAGGTCTACCATCTTGTCCCTGACATCCTTGGACAGCTCTTTGGTCTTTGCCATGGTGGAGAGTTTGGAATCTGATGGTTTGATGGCTCCTGTGGACAGGTGTCTTTTATACAGGTAACACAATGAGATTAGCAGCACTCCCTTTAAGAGACTGCTTCTAATCTCAGCTTGTTACCTGTATGAGAGACACCTGGGAGCCAGAAATCCTGCTGAATGATAGGGGATCAAATCCTTCTTTCCCTCATGAACATGCAGATCCGTCATCATTTGTTAGACGCATTTCTGCTGAATTTGTTGTTGTATTCTGTCTCTCAGTGTTACACCGAACATTCCATTGTTAGACCGATCGTTTCTGTGTGTGAGGGGCGAACATTCCATTGTTAGACCGATCATTTCTGTGTGAGGGGCGAACATTCCATTGTTAGACCGATCGTTTCTGTGTGAGGGGAGAACATTCCATTGTTAGACCGATCATTTCTGTGTGAGGGGCGAACATTCCATTGTTAGACCGATCATTTCTGTGTGAGGGGCGAACATTCCATTGTTAGACCGATCATTTCTGTGTGAGGGGCGAACATTCCATTGTTAGACCGATCGTTTCTATGTGAGGGGCGAACATTCCATTGTTAGACCGATCATTTCTGTGTGAGGGGCGAACATTCCATTGTTAGACCGATCATTTCTGTGTGAGGGGCGAACATTCCATTGTTAGACCGATCATTTCTGTGTGAGGGGCGAACATTCCATTGTTAGACCGATCGTTTCTGTGTGAGGGGCGAACATTCCATTGTTAGACCGATCGTTTCTGTGTGAGGGGCGAACATTCCATTGTTAGAATCATTTCTGTGTGAGGGGCGAAAATTACGCATTTCGTTTCAGTGTGATATATATCTTAGATTGTAAGCTCCCAGGATCAGCCCCTCCCTCCTAGATTGTAAGCTCCCAGGATCAGCCCCTCCCTCTAGATTGTAAGCTCCCAGGATCAGCCCCTCCCTCTTAGATTGTAAGCTCCCAGGATCAGCCCCTCCCTCTTAGATTGTAAGCTCCCAGGATCAGCCCCTCCCTCTTAGATTGTAAGCTCCCAGGATCAGGCCCCTCCCTCTTAGATTGTAAGCTCCCAGGATCAGCCCCTCCCTCCTAGATTGTAAGCTCCCAGGATCAGGCCCCTCCCTCTTAGATTGTAAGCTCCCAGGATCAGGGCCCTCCCTCTTAGATTGTAAGCTCCCGGGATCAGCCCCTCCCTCTTAGATTGTAAGCTCCCGGGATCAGCCCCTCCCTCTTAGATTGTAAGCTCCCAGGATCAGCCCCTCCCTCTTAGATTGTAAGCTCCCGGGATCAGCCCCTCCTATCCCTCTTGTATTGATCTGTATTGTTGCTGTATTGTCTCCTGTTATATTGTACAGCGCTGAGGACACTGTTGGCGCCATAAATCCTGTATAATAATAATAATAATAATAATATAAATCCTGTATAATAATAATAATATATATAAATCCTTTATAATTGAAATACTATATTTGAAATTTTTTTATATATTATATAAAATATATGAACAATATATTTTTAAAATGACTTTTTTTTTATATATAAAAAAATCTGAAGAATATATTTTAAACAATATTTTTCATATATTTTGTAGCATATAAAAACAATGCATTTCAGCGTACAGTATATATATATATATATAGAATGCGGCCAAAATTGTAGTATTTCAAATATATGTCAATATATTTGGGAAGAAAATATATTTCTTCCATGTGGGTGGGGTCAGAGATCCCCGCGTTCTTCCCGCCCACAGACACCACACATGGAATCCATATAATTGGTTCCCGTACCTCCCGCCGACGCATCTCGCCGTCCCTCTTCTTCCCTCTCCTGCCTTCTCCTCTGGGAGGTTTCTCCGGTGCGCTGACGTCCTGTACATAAATCATACATATAGAGGGTCAGGACGGGGAATACTGAGGAGGAGGATGACACATCACATATAGAGGGTCAGGGTGGGGGATACTGAGGAGGAGGATGGCACATCACATATAGAGGGTCAGGATGGGGAATACTGAGGAGGAGGATGACACATCACATATAGGAGGGTCAGGGTGGGGGATACTGAGGAGGAGGATGGCACATCACATATAGAGGGTCAGGACGGGGAATACCAAGGAGGAGGATGACACATCACATATAGAGGGTCAGGACGGGGAATACCAAGGAGGAGGATGACACATCACACATAGAGGGTCAGGACGGGGAATACCAAGGAGGAGGATGGCACATCACATATAGAGGGTCAGGACGGGGAATACCAAGGAGGAGGATGGCACATCACATATAGAGGGTCAGGATGGGGAATACCGAGGAGGAGGATGGCACATCATCATATAGAGGGTCAGGATGGGGAGTACTGAGGAGGAGGATGGCACATCACATATAGAGGGTCAAGATGGGGAATACTGAGGAGGAGGATGGCACATCACATATAGAGGGTCAAGATGGGGAATACTGAGGAGGAGGATGGCACATCACATATAGAGGGTCAAGATGGGGAATACTGAGGAGGAGGATGGCACATCAGATATAGAGGGTCGAGATGGGGAATACTGAGGAGGAGGATGACACATCAGATATAGAGGGTCAGGATGGGGAATACTGAGGAGGAGGATGGCACATCAGATATAGAGGGTCAGGATGGCGAATACCTAGGAGGAGGATGACACATCACATACAGAGGGTCGAGATGGGGAATACTGAGGAGGAGGATGACACATCAGATATAGAGGGTCAAGGCGGGGAATACTGAGGAGGATGACACATCAGATAGAGAGGGTCAAGATGGGGAATACTGAGGAGGAGGATGGCACATCACATATAGAGGGTCAGGATGGGGAATACTGAGGAGGAGGATGGCACATCACATATAGAGGGTCAGGATGGGGAATACTGAGGAGGAGGATGGCACATCACATATAGAGGGTCAGGATGGGGAATACTGAGGAGAAGGATGGCACATCAGATATAGAGGGTCAAAATGGGGAATACTGAGGATGAGGATGACACATCACATATAGGAGGGTCAAGATGGGGAATACTGAGGAGGAGGATGGCACATCACATATAGAGGGTCAGGATGGGGAATACTGAGGAGGAGGATGGCACATCACATATAGAGGGTCAGGATGGGGAATACTGAGGAGGGGGATGGCACATCAGATATAGAGGGTCAAGATGGGGAATACTGAGGAGGAGGATGGCACATCAGATATAGAGGGTCAGGACGGGGAATACTGAGGAGGAGGATGGCACATCACATATAGAGGGTCAGGATGGGGGATACTGTGGAGGATGGCACATCAGATATAGAGGGTCGAGATGAGGAATACTGAGGAGGAGGATGACACATCAGATATAGAGGGTCAGGGTGGGGAATACTGAGAAGGAGGATGGCACATCAGATATAGAGGGTCGAGATGGGGAATACTGAGGAGGAGGATGGCACATCATATATAGAGGGTCAGGGTGGGGAATACTGAGGAGGAGGATGACACATCAGATAGAGGGTCGGGATGGACAATACCGAGGAGGAGGATGACAAAATAAACATAGGAGAGACAAGGATTAATACAAGATCAGCCAAGGCTGACTCCCATCTGAAAATCCCGGTGGCCTGGCTGTACTATCGATGGTCTCTAAGGCTTGCCATAGATGATGAGATTTTAGCTCCAAACACCACGGAATTCAGGCACGAGAATTGCTGGACTCCCCCTTTGGCACAACCCCTGTTGGTGGGGGAATCCTTCCCTCTGCACTCCTGTGTTTCCCTAATAGGGCGCCTGCTATAAATCTGACATTCTGGTTGTACCCAGATTGGTGGATTGATGACCATCGATGGTCGGCGTAAGTCTCAGAAAATCCCGAACTCCATCCTGAGTTCTCTTCAGAAATGACTTCTTGATGTCTCCATTCTCAGGGATTCCACCCCTCCCCCCCCATCCCCCTCCGCAGGATTCTGTTCAGACTGAGACCCCCCAAAGGTATGCACAATGCTAACAATGTATCGAGATTCCTGAATCAGCTTCTTGCACAACTATCAGTCGCTGATGAACCTTGTTTAGAGTCAAACCGGATCCAGCCGCCAGTTGTTTACTGCACTCCAGATGTTCCAGAAGCAGCTGCACGCAATCAGCACAAAACTTCTCCCGGGAAACGAAAAAACAAATCTGTACGAAAATCCTTCAAAACCTCGCTGGAGACCGTTCAAGTGCTATCCAGATAGAAGAAGATGAGACAGAACGAGTCCAGGGGTTCAAATTCCATCCAGAGAGAAGAAGAGACAGAACGAGTCCAGAGGTTCAAATTCCATCCAGAGAGAAGAAGATGAGACAGAACGAGTCCAGAGGTTCAAATTCCATCCAGAGAGAAGAAGAGACAGAACGAGTCCCAGAGGTTCAAATTCCATCCAGAGAGAAGAAGATGAGACAGAACGAGTCCAGAGGTTCAAATTCCTTCCAGAGAGAAGAAGATGAGACAGAACGAGTCCAGAGGTTCAAATTCCATCCAGATAGAAGAAGATGAGACAGAACAAGTCCAGAGGTTCAAATTCCATCCAGAGAGAAGAAGAGACAGAACGAGTCCAGAGGTTCAAATTCCATCCAGAGAGAAGAAGATGAGACAGAACGAGTCCAGGGGTTCAAGTGCTATCCAGATAAAAGATGAGACAGAACAAGTCCAGAGGTTCAAATTCCATCCAGAGAGAAGAAGATGAGACAGAACGAGTCCAGAGGTTCAAATTCCATCCAGAGAGAAGAAGATGAGACAGAACGAGTCCAGAGGTTCAAATTCCATCCAGATAGAAGAAGATGAGACAGAACGAGTCCAGAGGTTCAAGTGCTATCCAGAGAGAAGAAGATGAGACGAGTCCAGAGGTTCAAGTGCCATCCAGAGAGAAGAAGATGAGACAAGTCCAGAGGTTCAAGTGCCATCCAGAGAGAAGATGAGAGAACAAGTCCAGAGGTTCAAATGCCATCCAGATAGAAGAAGATGAGACGAGTCCAGAGGTTCAAGTGCCATCCAGAGAGAAGAAGATGAGACGAGTCCAGAGGTTCAAGTGCCATCCAGAGAGAAGAAGATGAGACAGAACGAGTCCAGAGGTTCAAATTCCATCCAGAGAGAAGAAGATGAGACAGAACGAGTCCAGAGGTTCAAATTCCATCCAGATAGAAGAAGATGAGACAGAACGAGTCCAGAGGTTCAAGTGCTATCCAGAGAGAAGAAGATGAGACGAGTCCAGAGGTTCAAGTGCCATCCAGAGAGAAGAAGATGAGACGAGTCCAGAGGTTCAAGTGCCATCCAGAGAGAAGAAGATGAGACGAGTCCAGAGGTTCAAGTGCCATCCAGAGAGAAGATGAGAGAACAAATCCAGAGGTTCAAATGCCATCCAGATAGAAGAGGAGACGAGTTCAGAGATTCAAGTGCCATCCAGAGAGAAGATGAGACAGAACAAGTCCAGAGGTTCAAATTCCATCCAGATAGAAGAAGATGAGGCAGAACGAGTCCAGAGGTTCAAATTCCATCCAGATAGAAGAAGATGAGGCAGAACGAGTCCAGAGACGGGTGACAAAAGGGACCAAAAGGTGCAAGGGAGAAAACATATCAGAAGAGACTTCAACAAATTCATATGTACAGTCTGGAGGAAAGAAGGAAAAGGATGGACATGACTGAAACCTTTCATTACCTGACAGGTGTGAATAGGGTTCAGGAGGGCAGAATTGTCAATATGAAGCCAAGAAAACAGGAACATGACCCCGGAGTAGGCTGAGGAAAGTTTTATACTGATCAGAGAAAGTACACGGCTCAAAAAAAAAATAAAAATGAAAGGACGACTTTGTAGACCGAGTCACATCAAGTCGATGAACCTCCTGGGATATGGATCTGGTCAGGTAAGTCGCAGAGGATCTGGTCAGGTAAGTAGCAGAGGATCTGGTCAGGTAAGTAGCAGAGGATCTAGTCAGGGAAGTCGCAGAGGGGGTTGTTCATCAGTTTCAGGTGCTTTGGTGTCATGGAATTACCAACAGGTGCACTAGATGGGCAACAATGAGACGACCCCCAAAACAGGAATGGTTATACAGGTGGAGGCCACTGACATTTTTTCCCTACTCATCTTTTCTGACTGTTTCTCACTCGTTTTGCATTTGGCTCGGGTCAGTTTCACTACTGGTAGCATGAGACCATACCTGGACCCTACAGAGGTTGTACAGGCAGTCCAACTCCTCCAGGATGGCACATCAATACCTGCCATTGCCAGAAGGTTTGCTGTGTCTCCCAGCACAGTCTCAAGAGCATGGAGGAGATTCCAGGAGACGAGAGCATGGGGGAGATTCCAGGATACGAGAGCATGGAGGAGATTCCAGGAGACGAGAGCATGGAGGAGATTCCAGGATACGAGAGCACGGAGGAGATTCCAGGAGACGAGAGCATGGAGGAGATTCCAGGATACGAGAGCATGGAGGAGATTCCGGGAGACGAGAGCATGGAGGAGATTCCAGGATACGAGAGAGCACGGAGGAGATTCCAGGAGACGAGAGCACGGAGGAGATTCCAGGAGATGAGAGCACGGAGGAGATTCCAGGAGACGAGAGCACGGAGCAGATTCCAGGAGACGAGAGCACGGAGCAGATTCCAGGAGACAGGCAGTTCCTCTAGGAGGGCTGGACAGGGCAGTAGAAGGTCCTTAACCCATCAGCAGGACCGGTATCTGCTCCTTTGTTCAAGGAGGAGCAGGATGAGCCCTGCCAGAGCCCTACAAAATGACCTCCAGCAGGCCACTGGTGTGAAGGTCTCTGACCAAACAATCAGAAACAGACTTCATGAGGGTGGCTTGAGGGCCCGACGTCCTCTAGTGGGCCCCTGTGCTCACTGCCCGGCACCATAGAGCTGGATTGGCATTGGCCATTGAACACCAGAATTGGCAGGTCCACCACTGGCACCCTGTGCTTCTCACAGATGAGAGCAGGTTCCCCCTGAGCACATGTGACAGACGTGAAAGGGTCTGGAGAAGCCGTGGAGAACGTTCTGCTGCCTGTAACATGGTTCAGCATGACCGATTTGGTGGTGGGTCAGTGATGGTCGGGGGGGCATCTCCATGGAGGGACACACAGACCTCTACAGGCTAGACAATGGCACCCTGATTGCCTTTAGGTATCGGGATGAAATCTTTGGACCCATTGTCAGACCCTACACTGGTGCAGGGGGTCCTGGGTTCCTCCTGGTGCAGTGGGTCCTGGGTTCCTCCTGGTGCAGTGGGTCCTGGGTTCCTCCTGACAATGCCCGGCCTCATGTGGGGGGAGTATGCCGGCAGTTCCTGGAGGATGAAGGAATTGATACCATTGATAGCCCCCACATCTCAGCAGACCTAAATCCAATAGAACTCCTCTGGGATGTCATGTTTTGGTCCATCCGACGCCTCCAGGTTGCACCTCAGACTGTCCAGGAGCTCAGTGATGTCCTGGTCCAGATCTGGGAGGAAATCCCCCAGGACACCATCCGTGGTCTCATTAGGAGCCTCCCCCGACGTTGTCAGGCATGCATACAAGCATGTGGGGGCCACACAGTCTACTGAGGACCATTCTGAGTTGCGTCAATGACATTTCACCAACATGGACTCTCCTGCTGCATCATTTCTTCACTTTGATTTTTGGGGGGTCTGTGAATTCAGCCCTCTGTAGGTCCATCATTTCCATTTCCATCCAACGATGGGGCTTCCTTACGTTCCTCACCCATCCCCCGCCCATGTCAGTATAGAGATCCAGCTGGAGGTTCCTCCCCATTGAGGTCTGATGGGTTTTCAGACTCTTCCTCTCATTTCTCTGAGCCGTGTGTTATTTTACTGAAAGAGAAGTTGATGTTTGAAATCAACTTCCAGCCGAGGTAAGGAGCCATTCCAAAGTAAGTGGCTTCAGATATGCCTGGGACCAATATATATCTACACTCAGACAAAAAAGATTTAAGAAAAAAAAAAAACACAGAAATATGTATTTTTATAAATAGTTGTTTTTTAATTGGAAAGTCTCCAAGGACAACTTGGTCTATGATTCTGTATTAATACCCACTGTCATACCTGCACACTCCTCTCCTGTACATACCAATCACTGTCATACCTGCAACACTCCTCTCCTGTACATACCGACCACTGTCATACCTCCACACTCCTCTCTCCTGTACATACCGATCACTGTCATACCTCCACACTCCTCTCCTGTACATACCGATCACTGTCATACCTCCCACACTCCTCTCCTGTACATAGTGCCCACTGTCACACCCCGCACACTCCTCTCCTGTACATAGTGCCAACTTCACACCCCCCACACTCCCTCTCCTGTACATACCGATCACTGTCATACCCCCCCACACTCCTCTCCTGTACATACCGATCACTGTCACACCCCCACACTCCTCTCCTGTACATACCAATCACTGTCATACCCCCCCACACTCCTCTCCTGTACATACCGATCACTGTCATACCTGCAACACTCCTCTCCTGTACATACCAATCACTGTCATACCCTCCACACTCCTCTCCTGTACATAGTGCTCACTGTCATACCCCCCACACTCCTCTCCTGTACATAGTGCCCACTGTCACACCCCCCACACTCCTCTCCTGTACATACCGATCACTGTCATACCTGCAACACTCCTTTCCTGTACATACCGATCACTGTCATACCTGCAACACTCCTCTCCTGTACATACCGATCACTGTCATACCTCCACACTCCTCTCCTGTACATAGTGCCCACTGTCACACCCCCCACACTCCTCTCCTGTACATACCGATCACTGTCATACCCCCCACACACTCCTCTCCTGTACATACCGATCACTGTCACCCCCCCCACACTCCTCTCCTGTACATACCGATCACTGTCACACCCCCCACACTCCTCTCCTGTACATACCAATCACTGTCATACCCTCCACACTCCTCTCCTGTACATACCGATCACTGTCATACCTGCAACACTCCTCTCCTGTACATACCAATCACTGTCATACCCTCCACACTCCTCTCCTGTACATAGTGCTCACTGTCACACCCCCCACACTCCTCTCCTGTACATAGTGCCACTGTCACACCCCCCACACTCCTCTCCTGTACATACCGATCACTGTCATACCCCCCACACTCCTCTCCTGTACATAGTGCCCACTGTCACACCCCCCACACTCCTCTCCTGTACATACCGATCACTGTCATACCTGCAACACTCCTTTCCTGTACATACCGATCACTGTCATACCTGCAACACTCCTTTCCTGTACATACCGATCACTGTCATGTACATACCGATCACTGTCATACACCCCCCACACTCCTCTCCTGTACATACCGATCACTGTCATACCTGCAACACTCCTTTCCTGTACATACCGATCACTGTCATACCTGCAACACTCCTTTCCTGTACATACCAATCACTGTCATACCCTCCACACTCCTCTCCTGTACATAGTGCTCACTGTCACACCCCCCACACTCCTCCTCTCCTGTACATAGTGCCCACTGTCACACCCCCCACACTCCTCTCCTGTACATACCGATCACTGTCATACCCCCCACACTCCTCTCCTGTACATACCGATCACTGTCATACCCCTCACACTCCTCTCCTGTACATACCGATCACTGTCATACCTCCACACTCCTCTCCTGTACGTACCCATCACTGTCATACCCCCACACTCCTCTCCTGTACATACCGATCACTGTCATACCCCTCACACTCCTCTCCTGTACATACCGATCACTGTCATACCTCCACACTCCTCTCCTGTACGTACCCATCACTGTCATACCTCCACACTCCTCTCCTGTACATACACATCACTGTCATACCTCCGTACTCCTCTCCTGTACATACTGATCACTGTCATACCTCCACACTCCTCTTCTGTACATACCAATCACTGTCATACCTCCACACTCCTCTCCTGTACATACCGATCACTGTCATACCTCCACACTCCTCTCCTGTACATACTGATCACTGTCATACCCCCACACTCCTCTCCTGTACATACCGATCACTGTCATACCTCCACACTCCTCTCCTGTACATACCGATCACTGTCATACCTCCACACTCCTCTCCTGTACATACCGATCACTGTCATACCCTCCACACTCCTCTCCTGTACATACCGATCACTGTCGTACCTCCACACTCCTCTCCTGTACATACTGATCACTGTCATACCTCCACACTCCTCTTCTGTACATACCGATCACTGTCATACCTCCACACTCCTCTCCTGTACATACTGATCACTGTCATACCTCCGTACTCCTCTCCTGTACATACTGATCACTGTCATACCTCCACACTCCTCTTCTGTACATACTGATCACTGTCATACCTCCGTACTCCTCTCCTGTACATACCGATCACTGTCATACCTCCACACCCCTCTCCTGTACACACTGATCACTGTCATACCCCCCACACTCCTCTCCTGTACACACCGATCACTGTCATACCTCCACACTCCTCTCCTGTACATACCCATCACTGTCATACCCCCCTTACTCCTCTCCTGTACATACCGATCACTGTCATACCCTCCACATTCCTCTCCTGTACGTACCGATCACTGTCAAACCCCCCACACTCCTCTCCTGTACATACCGATCACTGTCATACCCCCCACACTCCTCTCCTGTACATACCGATCACTGTCATACCTCCCACACTCCTCTCCTGTACATACTGATCACTGTCATACCCCACACTCCTCTCCTGTACATACCGATCACTGTCATACCTCCACACTCCTCTCCTGTACATACCGATCACTGTCATACCTCCACACTCCTCTCCTGTACATACCGATCACTGTCATACCTCCACACTCCTCTCCTGTACATACCGATCACTGTCATACCTCCACACTCCTCTCTGTACATACCGATCACTGTCATACCTCCGTACTCCTCTCCTGTACATACTGATCACTGTCATACTCTTTCCAACCCTCTGTTGACAAAAAGCTTCTTCCACAGGGTCTGTATTGCACCAATCCCGGCCTGTCCATGAATGGGTGAATCTTTTCTAGTAATAATATAAATGAAATATTACACACAAATATATATATAATGAATCTGCGTTCAAGATCACCTACCGACATGGCGCGTGCCGTCAGTCCATACATGTTAGGCAGTGGCGGCTTTTTGGTGGGCTTTGTTTTAGGTTTTTTGACCTGAAAAAGACAAGTGGTGGTGTCACTGCAAATCCGAGTCAGAAGAGAAAAGATACAACAAAATCATTACAGAAAAAAGGAGAGCAACAAATAAATGTGTGCTGTACCCAGAGAAACCCATCAAGATCAGCTGTACTGCCCACTGTCACACGCTCCACACTCCTCTCCTGTACATAGTGCCCACTGTCATACCCCCCACACTCCTCTCCTGTACATACCGATCACAGTCATATCCTCCACACTCCTCTCCTGTACATACCAATCACTGTCATACCTCCACACTCCTCTCCTGTACACACCGATCACTGTCATACCTCCTGTACACTCCTCTCCTGTACACACCGATCACTGTCATACCTCCACACTCCTCTCCTGTACACACCGATCACTGTCATACCTCCCACACTCCTCTCCTGTACATACCGATCACTGTCATACCTCCTCACACCTCCTCTCCTGTACATACCGATCACTGTCATACCCCTCACACACTCCTCTCCTGTACATACCGATCACTGTCATACCTCTCACACTCCTCTCCTGTACATACCGATCACTGTCATACCTCCACATCTCCTCTCCTGTACATACCGATCACTGTCATACCTCCGTACTCTCCTCTCCTGTACATACCGATCACTGTCATACCTCCACACTCCTCTCCTGTACATACCGATCACTGTCATACCTCCACACTCCTCTGCTGTACATACCGATCACTGTCATACACCCCCACAATCCTCTCCTGTACATACCGATCACTGTCATACCCTCCACACTCCTCTCCTGTACATACCGATCACTGTCATACCTCCGTACTCCTCTCCTGTACATACCGATCACTGTCATACCTCCACACCGCTCCTCCTGTACATACCAATCACTGTCATACCCCTCACACTCCTCTCCTGTACATACCGATCACTGTCATACCCCCACACTCCTCTCCTGTACATACCGATCACTGTCATACCTCCGTACTCCTCTCCTGTACATACCGATCACTGTCATACCCCCCACACTCCTCTCCTGTACATACCGATCACTGTCATACCTCCACACTCCTCTCCTGTACATACCGATCACTGTCATACCTCCCACACTCCTCTCCTGTACATACCGATCACTGTCATACCCCCACACTCCTCTCCTGTACATACCGATCACTGTCATACCCCCACACTCCTCTCCTGTACATACCGATCACTGTCATACCTCCGTACTCCTCTCCTGTACATACCGATCACTGTCATACCTCCCCACTCCTCTCCTCTCCTGTACATACCGATCACTGTCATACCTCCACACTCCTCTCCTGTACATACCGATCACTGTCATAATTCCGTACTCCCTCTCCTGTACATACCGATCGCTGTCACACCTCCACACTCCTCTCCTGTACACGACCGATCACTGTCATACCTCCCACTCCTCTCCTGTACATACCGATCACTGTCATACCCCCCACTTCTCTCCTGTACATACCGATCACTGTCATACCCTCCACACTCCTCTCCTGTACATACCGATCACTCTCATACCTCCGTACTCCTCTCCTGTACATACCGATCACTGTCACACCCCCCACATTCTCTCCTGTACATACCGATCACTGTCATACCCCCTCACACTCCTCTCCTGTACATACCCATCACTCATCATACCTCCACACTCCTCTCCTGTACATACCGATCACTGTCATACCACCCCCACACTCCTCTCCTGTTACATACCGATCACTGTCATACCTCCACACTCCTCTCCTGTACATACCGATCACTGTCATACCCCACACACTCCCCTCTCCTGTACATACCGATCACTGTCATACCTCCACGTACTCCTCTCCTGTACATACCGATCACTGTCATACCCCCTCACACTCCTCTCCTGTACATACCCATCACTCCCTCATACCTCCACACTCCTCTCCTGTACATACCGATCACTGTCATACCCCCACACTCCTCTCCTGTACATAACCGATCACTGTCATACCTCCACACTCCTCTCCTGTACATCACCGATCACATGTCATACCTCCACACTCCTCTACCCCCTCCACATTGTACATACCGATCACTGTCATACCTCCACACTCTCTCTCTCCTGTACATACCGATCACTGTCATACCTCCACACTCCTCTCTGTACATACCGATCACTGTCATACCTCCCACACTCCTCTCCTGTACAAATACCGATCACTGTCATACCCTCCACACTCCTCTCCTGTACAAACCGATCACTGTCATACCCCCTCTCACACTCCTCTCCTGTACATACCGATCACTGTCATACCCCTCCCACACTCCTCTCCTGTACATACCGATCACTGTCATACCTCCACACCTCCTCTCCTGTAACATACCGATCACTGTCATACCCCTCACACTCCTCTCCTGTACATACCGATCACTGTCATACCTCCACACTCCTCTCCTGTACATACCGATCACTGTCATACCTCCACTAACTCCTCTCCTGTACATACCGATCACTGTCATACCTCCACACTCCTCTCCTGTACATTACGATCACTGTCATACCTCCACACTCCTCTCCTGTACATACCGATCACTGTCATACCCCCCACACTCCTCTCTCCTTGTACATACCGATCACTGTCATACCCCCCACACTCCTCTCCTGTACATACCGATAAACTGTGTCATACCCTCCACACTCCTCTCCTGTACATACCGATCACTGTCATACCTCCACACCCTCTCCTGTACATACCCATCACTGTTACCCTCCACACTAATCTTCCTGTACTAATACCGATCCTGTACATACCTTCCGACACTCCTCCTGTACATACCGATCACTGTCATACCTCCCAAACTCCTCTCCTGTACATACCGATCACTGTCATACCCTCCACACTCCTCTCCTGTACATACCGATCACTGTCATACCCTCCACACTCCTCTCATTCCTGTACATACCGATCACCACTGTCCCATACCCCTCCCCACTCCTCTCCTGTACATACCGATCACTGTCACACCCTCCCCACACTCCTCTCCTGTACATACTGTCACTGTCATACCTCCTGACTCACTCCAATCCTGAATTCATACTCCCATCACAGTCTGGACTGTCCCCCCACTCCTCTCCTGGTACATACTGATTTAAACTGTTTAGTCCCCAGGTGTCTCTGGCATCCCCTCCCATGTTCAGAACATTCAGGAGATGTTTTTTACCTCCAGACTCTCTCAAAAACATCCTGTTTCTCATACCTCCGTATCTCCTCTCCTGTACAACGATCACGATGGGTTGGACCTCCCAAACTCCTCTCCTGTACATCCAACTGTCATTACCCCATTTCCCTCCTGTGTACATACCGATCCTGTCTACACCATACTAACTGTGCCTCCCAATCACTGCTAATACCTCCACACCCGTCTCCTATTAATATACGAGTCACTGTCATAGGCCTCCACACTCCTATTGCTGTTCCCTCAACACCTGGAGGGCCACAGTTTTGGACAACCCCTGTATCCCCCTTACAATTCTCATACCTGGCAGGAATCTGCTCCTGTACATACCGATCACTGTCATGCTGGATCCTCTCACTGTACCACGGTTCACTGTCATACCTCTACGTACTCCAATCCTGACCACGTTGTTCTCGGAGCTTCACCCTCTGGAATTTGTCCTGAATTTGGTGGCCGATCACTATGTCAGACCACGGGTCTCCACACCCTCTCATCTGTAAGAGACCGATCCTGAACATCCTCATTCATTTTCACCTCAGTTATCATACCGTATTGTGCAGAAACCTCCAATCATCTCCTGTACATACTGACGTTCACAGAGAGTCATTATCCTGGCACATCCTTCTCTCAAGTAAACGATCAAGCTACCTGCCCCCCCCCCCCAATGTAAAAAACTGCAGCCACGATCACTGTGGTCAATGTCACCCCAACAATGGATGAATCTGGTAATAGCGATCACTGTCATTCCACACTCCTGTCCTGAGGACTGAAGAATGTGGATCCTAAATCATACATCCTACCTATCCCAAACCAATCAGGATGTATGGCTGCACCGCTATTTCTGTAGAACATGCGTCATACCCTCACATTTTATTATTAATCCTCTATTATATCAGATCGGTGAAGGGGGAGGGGGGAGGGGTGGCTGTTCCCTCCTCCCTGTACATTCCAATGGCTTTGTATTTCTCTCAGCTCCGAAGACATGAAGCTGTGGACCGATCGCGCTCATTTTCCTCCAAATTCATTCTTCATCCCCAAAAACATTCCCATGGTGTCATTCTGCTGATTTTTTATCCATCCTGGAACTGGCTTCAATCTCATACCCCAGCCCAATCTTGTTCCTGTTCCCTAGACCCATCACATCATCTGATACCTCCCACCACCACTGTTCATCTCATTCATCTCAACCCCAATCTGTTGTATCTGATGCTGTTGCAGACCCTCCCATACTTCATCTCATCCTGTACATCCGGACACTGGCAGAACCTCCACTCATCTCATCCTGTACATATCCAATCTGGTTCTTCTCATCCCTCCGACTCAATGGTATTGTCCCTGAGACCTGGCCACAACATCCATCTCATCCTCTACAACCCAATCTGGGTGTCATATCTGCCGAAACTCCCTCCCTTCCCTGAGACCTCCATCACATTCATCTCATCCTCTACAACCCAATCTGGTGGTCTGCCTCCTACCCTCCCATCCCTGTTCCCACCACATTCCCTTCCCCTACACTCCCAATCTGGTACATCTGACTCCTCCCTAAAAAAAAGACTCTCCCTTCCCACACCATCTCTTCCTCTACAACCCAATCTGGTGTATCTTGCTCCCCCCCCCATCTACCTGGGACCTGGCCACCAACATTCCTCATCCTTACAATCCAACTGGCCATACTGCTGTTCCACTTTCCCTCCTAATTCCTGGATCCTCCCATAACCAATACCTCATCTGTCTGAACCTCTCACAACCCAATTGGTACCATCTGCTGACATGCCCTCCATCGTCTCTCCCTGACATACCTGGCCACCACATTCAATCTCATCCTCTAACAACCCAATCTGTGTATCTGCCTACTCCCTCCCGATCCCTGAGACCTGGCCACCTCATATTCCATCTCATCCTCTAAAATTCCATCTGCTGTTCCCTCCGTCCTTGAGACCTGGCCACCCCATTCACCATCCTCTACTCCCATCTCCTCTGCCCCTCCCTACCATCCCCTGAGACTGGGCCACCACATTCATCTCATCCTCTACAACCCAATCTGGTGTCATCTGCACCCTCCCTCCCATCCCTGAGACACTGGGCCCACCACATTCATCTCATCCTCTACAACCCAATCTGTGTATCTGCTGTTCCCTCCCCGTCCTGAGACCTGGCCACAACATTCATCTCATCCTCTACAAACCAATCTGGTGCTACTTCCCACTGAGACCTGGCCACCACATTCATCTCATCCTCTACATGCTGCCTTCTCCCCCAATCTGGTGTATCTGCTGTCATCTCCCTCCCATCCCTGAGACCTGGCCACCACATTCATCTCATCCTCTACAACCCAATCTGGTGTATCTGCTGCCTCCCTCCCATCCCTGAGACCTGGCCACCACATTCATCTCATCCTCTACAACCCAATCTGGTGTATCTGCTGCTCCCTCCCTCCATCCTGAGACCTGGCCACCACATTCATCTCATCCTCTACAACCCAATCTGGTGTATCTGCTGTTCCCTCCCATCCCTGAGACCTGGCCACCACATTCATCTCATCCTCTACAACCCAATCTGGTGTATCTGCTGTTCCCCTCCCATCCTGAGACCTGGCCACCACATTCATCTCATCCTCTACAACCCAATCTGGTGTATCTGCTGTTCCCTCCCATCCCTGAGACCTGGCCACCACATTCATCTCATCCTCTACAACCCCAATCTGGTGTATCTGCTGTTCCCTCCCGTCCCTTGAGACCTGGCCACCACATTCATCTCATCCTCTACAACCCAATCTGGTGTATCTGCTGCCTCCCTCCCATCCCTGAGACCTGGCCACCACATTCATCTCATCCTCTACAACCCAATCTGGTGTATCTGCTGCCTCCCTCCCATCCCTGAGACCTGGCCACCACATTCATCTCATCCTCTACAACCCAATCTGGTGTATCTGCTGCCTCCCTCCCGTCCCTGAGACCTGGCCACCACATTCATCTCATCCTCTACAATCCAATCTGGTGTATCTGCTGCCCTCCCTCCCATCCCTGAGACCTGGCCACCACATTCATCTCATCCTCTACAACCCAATCTGGTGCATCTGCTGTTCCCTCCCATCCCTGAGACCTGGCCACCACATTCATCTCATCCTCTACAATCCAATCTGGTGTATCTGCTGTTCCCTCCCATCCCTGAGACCTGGCCACCACATTCATCTCATCCTCTACAATCCAATCTGGTGTATCTGCTGCCCCTCCCATCCCTGAGACCTGGCCACCACATTCATCTCATCCTCTACAACCCAATCTGGTGTATCTGCTGTTCCCTCCCATCCCTGAGACCTGGCCACCACATTCATCTCATCCTCTACAACCCAATCTGGTGTATCTGCTGCCTCCCTCCCATCCCTGAGACCTGGCCACCACATTCATCTCATCCTCTACAACCCAATCTGGTGTATCTGCTGTTCCCTCCCATCCCTGAGACCTGCCACCACATTCATCTCATCCTCTACATCCAATCTGGTGTATCTGCTGCCTCCCTCCCATCCCTGAGACCTGGCCACCACATTCATCTTATCCTCTACAACCCAATCTGGTGTATCTGCTGTTCCCTCCCATCCCTGAGACCTGGCCACCACATTCATCTCATCCTCTACAACCCAATCTGGTGTATCTGCTGCCTCCCTCCCCGTCCCTGAGACCTGGCCACCACATTCATCTCATCCTCTACAACCCAATCTGGTGTATCTGCTGTTCCCTCCCATCCCTGAGACCTGGCCACCACATTCATCTCATCCTCTACAACCCAATCTGGTGTATCTGCTGCCTCCCTCCCATCCCTGAGACCTGGCCACCACATTCATCTCATCCTCTACAACCCAATCTGGTGTATCTGCTGTTCCCTCCCATCCCTGAGACCTGGCCACCACATTCATCTCATCCTCTACAATCCAATCTGGTGTATCTGCTGCCTCCCTCCCGTCCCTGAGACCTGGCCACCACATTCATCTTATCCTCTACAACCCAATCTGGTGTATCTGCTGCTGTCCCTCCCATCCTTGAGACCTGGCCACCACATTCATCTCATCCTCTACAACCCAATCTGGTGTATCTGCTGCCTCCCTCCCCGTCCCTGAGACCTGGCCACCACATTCATCTTATCCTCTACAACCCAATCTGGTGTATCTGCTGTTCCCTCCCATCCTTGAGACCCTGGCCACCACATTCATCTCATCCTCTACAGTCCAATCTGGTGTATCTGCTGCCTCCCTCCCCGTCCCTGAGACCTGGCCACCACATTCATCTCATCCTCTACAACCCAATCTGGTGTATCTGCTGTTCCCTCCCATCCCTGAGACCTGGCCACCACATTCATCTCATCCTCTACAACCCAATCTGGTGTATCTGCTGCCTCCCTCCCATCCCTGAGACCTGGCCACCACATTCATCTCATCCTCAACAACCCAATCTGGTGTATCTGCTGTTCCCTCCCGTCCTTGAGACCTGGCCACCACATTCATCTCATCCTCTACAACCCAAACTGGGACATCTTCTGCCCGCCCATCCTCGAGAACTCACTACCACAATCATCTCATCCTCTACAACTCAAACATCTGCTGCCCCCCCCCCCATCTTTGAGACCTCATCACCACATTAAACTCATCCCCTAAAACTCAAACTGGGACATTAGCACCCCCATCTATGTGACCTCGCCACTACATTCATTCATCATCCTCTGCAACCCAAACCAGGACATTTGCTGCAACCCCCCCCCCCCCTTGTCCCTGAGACCTCACCACCACATTCAACACATCCTCTACAAACCAAACTTGTACATCAGTTGCCCCCCCCCCCCCCCCCATCCCAAAGACCTCATCACCACATTCATCTCATCCATCCTTCACAGCCCAAAACCATAACATTTGCTCCCCCTCCCATCTATGAGACCACATTTGACCCGTCCTCTGACCTAAAACTGGTACTTCTGCTGTTGCCCTCTCCGTTCCACCCTGAGACCTCACCACCACCACCACCACCATATTCATCTCATTCTGTACAACCCAAAATTGATGCACACAACATGAAGGAGAGGACATCTTCCCTCCAAGGTGAGGAAAATCCTCCCAGAACTGATGTCCCCTTAGAAGATTTCCCCTCTCTTCCTGTTCCATCGACAGCTCATCATTTCAGATTTTATCATCACTCTTTCTGCAATAGTGACCAGTACAGGAGGTGAATCTCCCCCGCGGGGGCACAGACCCAATCCGCGGCATTGTTTGTAGAGTTCCATTGTTTGTTGAAGGTCCCTGGAGAGGCAACTCGTTTCGGGGATCTGCGCCTCTCATCAGGGCCATCATAGACATACCTCGTATCCACTAATAATATATAATTTTTTATAAAGCAGTATTGGCCCAACATGGGTTCTAACCCCTCCATGCAAAACTATTAAAAAAAAAAAAAGGTTTTGGCTCTAGATACGGTTTAAGGAGTTCATTGCTAAGGGTCCAGGTAGGGTGGTCGGGGTTGGACATGTCTTCTGTCAGAGATAGTTGAGGCTTGGCCTGCAGCTGAG